ACGAAAAGTATTTCTTTTTAAAACGTTAAACTTTTCGTACCTGCATTCTATCCACCACCATCTCTCCTTATCTAACTTTTTAATGTAGTCGTTATTTCTACGCTAAGTGTAGCAATATTAAGTACCGAGGCAGTTCTACGCCCCGTAATACCCTGGGTATTCCCGATCATGAGCTGTTCACACGCTGCAACAAGCTTATCACACGCTGTCAATTTTTCAGAAACGAGCGACATTAGGACTGAATTTTCGTCGCGCTAGAAATCCCACATTCACTGGGAGATCAGCAGCCGGATTCCACCTTTCGCGATCGCTAAAACGCCTTCGCCAAAAAAAATCTATATGAGGTTTACAAATTTTTGCGATTATATCTTAAAAAGGCATCTCTAAATATCTCCACCGCTATTAGAAAAAGCTTTTTTGTTTTTTATTTTTTGATGTTTAGTTGAACCGGGATTGAACCCAGGCCCACGTCTGTCAAGTAAGCACTTCACTTTTCGAAATTGGAAAAGTTAACTACGGAATTGTAGCTTTTTTGTTGTAACTTTGTTGTGAAAAGACAAAAATTTTTAGCTGTAATTAAAAAAAAATATGGTATGTAATGCTAACTTGACACCATACACCTAGTCGATAGAATTGAGATATCCAATATGTTACTATGCCATTAATTGTAGCTTTTGACATAAAAATTAAAGTAGAAGCTGTTTTTCATGGTAGAAATACTCTCGTAGGTTAACCATTGCCTGCCGAGGGGCGACAGCTATTAGAAAAAGCTTATTTTGTTTTTTATTTTTTGATGTTGAGTTGAAACGAGATTGAAGCCAGGCCGGCCCACGTGTGTCAAGTTAGCGCTACACCTTTCGAAATTGGAAAAGTTAGCTACTGCATTAATTGTACCTTTTTTGTTGTAAATTTGTTGTGGAAAGAGAACATTTGTAGCTTTCCTTTTTAAGGAAAAAATGGTATGTAGTGCTAATTTGACACCTAGTCGATAGAATTGAGATATCCAATATGTTACTATGGCATTAATTGTAGCTTTTGACATAAAAATTTGTTGTGAAAGGAAAACATTTTAGCTTTCGTTTTTCTGGAAAAAAATCGACTTGGACATTTTTCGAACAAAATTTAGCATGCCCTTTTGTCGATTAAATTGAGATAACGAAAATCTTAAAACGGCTTTAATTGTAGCTTTTTTGTTGTAAATTTGTTGTGGAAAGAAAAAATGTGTAGCTACGTTTTTTAAGAAAAAATGATATTTAGTACTTACTTGGCACTATACACCTAGTCGATAGAATTGAGATAATGAAAATATTAAAACGGCATCAATTGTAGCTTTTTTGTTGTAAATTTGTTGTGGAAAGAGAAAACTATATAGGTGATGCAGGAGAATGAGTACATAGGCATAGGAATTTTCGGAAAGAGTAGGGGCGGAAGCTCCGCTTCTATTGTGAAAGATATGCAATATATCTTGTGCATATAAGTCCGACTACGTTATCCACAGTGTTTTTGCGCAGAACCAACATCAAAGTTTCCAAAAAACTGCATAATTTATTAATTAACTAGTGCTCGCTAATTTGAAATCTTTATTTTAAATTAAAGTTTAATTCTTTCACTACACTTGTATGTTAAAGTTTTTAAACTCGGCTCACGCGTTTGGACACAAATACCCAACATAATTGTACAAATAACTAAACCGCACCGTATTTCTTAAACTTCCATAAAGTTTATTAATGAGGAAAACCGCTTTTCCTGCAAAAACCTGTAAAACCTATAGACCATGAAGCATCTGGAAGGTAACTTCTATTCATGAAATTCACATATGTACATACACGACAAATTTCATAATTCCGTCCATGCTTTAGCCAACTCTACTAATCTATTAGCTTCCACATCATCTTTCTCATCACTAACCATATTTCTACTTATAAATTTTTTAAATTTTATAATAAAGCAATTATTTTAAAAATGATGTAAATGAAACACTAAAGAAACAAATGTAAACAAACAAACAGCTGTTCACAATTCAGTCAACCATTCACAATAGTACAAATTTTTATCGATCAAGTTACACAATAGCAAAATAAAAGATCATCGAATCGATCGACAAATTTCTATTCTACTGCCAGTCGACACTCGCAATAGGGGCCTAAATCTTGTTCGAAAAACGGTCAACTAAATTTTTCCGAGAAAAACGAATGCGACAAATTTCTTATTTTCAGAACAAATTTTTAAGTCAAAAGGTATAGGGCCTAATTCTGCACCACGTCGAATTTCCGTCGTAGTTACGAAAAAAGAACAGTGGCAACCTTGGCATTCTAGTCTCCGAACTGTTATTCGAATTTTCCAAAATTACGAAAATTCAAGTTTCAAGTGTATGTATTCCGGATCACTTCGCAACAGTTATTCGTAGGTAGTTTTTCCCGAAAGAAGATCAACGTCGGAATCTGCTTAAATTTTTCACATTTAAGTACTGTGAATTAAATAAAATGTATGTACAAAATTGTACAAATACTTTATGCGTTTGTATTTATATGAAATATATGCATAATAGGCCGAGGAACACCAATCCAAGCCAATACGAATTGTTGGTAGAGCTACTCAGCAACAGGAAGGACATTGCACAGGTCGAAGTGATGTGGAAGACTTTTGGAAGCAAGCCGCTAACGAGCTGAATGCTTTGGGACCACCATGCAGGGAGGTTATATATACAATTGATGACAATTTGCTTTAAATTTTTATTAACGTATCTTTTGGTTTCAGACATGGCTTGATTGGAAGAGCTACGTTAAAAAGAAGCTTTCCCACAACAAAATGGAGTCTCGAGCTACTGGGGTAGTTTTAATAAAAGGCCCATAAGCTCCTTAGAAGATAAAGTGATTTCGCTGACCGGGCTAGAAACTTGCACCTCAGGCCTTCAAGGTGGGTTAAGCTTCGGTGGAAGGCAGGAGTTTATCGCGGCATAGAAAAACTATGTGAAATAGAAAAAGAAAAACTGAAGGAATTTAAGCGACATAATGCTGTCAAAGAAATTGCTTTAAGGGAACGCAATAAATTAAAAAAAAAAGCGCCAGAATTAGAAGCTATAGCACTCGAATTAAAACAAGCAAAATTTGAGGCGAGTGAGAGATGTAAATATTAAACGTATATTTTTAGTTGATTATGTTTTTTAGAGAAATGGAATGTTCATATTTATTTTCTTTTTTAATAAATTAAGATAAGAGTTGAAGTAAGGACACAAGTTTTCATTTATTTCCAGATAAGATATATTCTAGGTAAATACTATGTACATTTAAAGCTTTTCTAATGGTTTGGTTACACTCACAACGCAAAAGTTGCAAGAATTCTTTGGCGTGTTCGTTCAGCATCACTCCGAAGATTCTCAAATTCCGGGTCATAATCGGGCTCAATTTCTTCCACATCATCTCTCTCAGGCAACGGTTCAAATTGGTCATCGCGGAAGTGAATACATATGTTGTGGAGAGCACAAGCCACGTTTACAATTTGGCAGGCCTTTAGAGGAACATAATTTAAAGCTCGTTCCCCCAAAACACATCGGAATCGGCTTTTCCACACACCAATTATTCTTTCTACCACACTTCGTGTTTTTGAATGGTAATCATTGAAAATTCTTTCTGGCGACTCTGCAGCTGCACTTCTATAAGGGGTCATAAGCCTAGGTTCGAGTGGGTAGCCGGCATCGCCTAGAAGAATATTTGTTAATATTTATCTGTAAGCTACATGGTACAGCTTTTTACTACCAAGAAGCCACGTGTTAGTATTTCCTTCTCTAAATTGCCGCTTAACTTCCAAATATGGCTATCATGGTTACGTCCTGGATACCGTGCATCTACTGCTCTTATTCTCAACTTATGGTCGCATATCTAAAATAAATTAAAACGTTACGTTCAAAAGTTACATACATACATATCTACTTTGTATATACATAATTATATCAAACTTACTATCATTACATTAATACACAAATTCATAAAAAATAAAGAACACTTTAACTGCTTTATAAATCGAAATTTTGTATGGAAATGTCACTTTAGAGAGCTCTTTGAACCTATTTTATTTTTTATGAATAAGGCCATAAGACTATAACAGCCTTTTCGGTTGAAAAATAGAAACGTCTCCGGCGAAGGTGCTGTTAATTTAACGTGAGTACCGTCATTACACATTACTACTCCTGGAAACATTGCCTTTGAGTAAAAATCTTGTTTTGCTTCTACTACTTCCGACTCGTCCATAATAAAATTTATCAAGATTTGGCAAACCTTCCTTTCAAAAACATTTAATAGCAGCGATATTGTCTTCGATACTGTGGGCTGCGTCATTCCGACATCATAGTCCTTACCAACTCCGTGTTGGTAGCCTCCTTCTGCAAAAAACCTTAAGAAAGCTACCAAGCGGCTCAGACTCGTTATTGATGAACTCTTTGTCGGGCCACCGAACTCTTGATCCAATATTCTTAGCAAATATTTAAAGGAATCTTTGCTTGTCGGAAAGTTCTTTTTAAATCTGAAAGAAACCTAATTGTAATTTTTAAATGTTGATATCTGTCTTACACTTACGCCTTAACATTCAACTGAAAGGGATCGCAGGCGTCTCTAAGTTGTCGTTTTATATTTTCTGCGTTACTCCTTGAATATTCATCTTCTTCGATTAATAAAATACCAGCAGCAATGAATTCCATAATTTTTAGCATTTTTTTTATTGCTACAACGTTTTCTTTGCTTTTTTCTTAAAATAACTCATTCTTGCAACTGCTTTCTATTTTCAAAATAAGCTGTCACTTGAAAGATGTAAATAATAACTTCGAAAATTCGAACAACTTATACATCTCCGTCGGAGAATGGAATGCAAACAATTTTTTCTTCGGAACTTAATTCGGAAATCGGGACTTTTCCCGACGGGGTGCAGAATGTAGCCCATAATTAATGGCATAGTGACATAAAGGATATCTTAATTCTATCGACTACGTGTAAGGAGTCAAAATAGCACTACATACCATTTTTTCTTAAAAAACGAGACTACAATTTTTTTCTTTCCACAACAAATATGCAACAAAAAATCTACAATTATTTACGTTGTACCGTTTTCAATATCTCAATTCTGTCGCCAATGGTGCATGGTTTCAAGTTAGCCCTACCAGAGACTGGCTTGCGTTGAACGCCAACTATTGCATACTCAATCAATACTGCTGCTTTGTATGACTGAGCAGCGCGTTGACTTAGTAGTATCGATACCTAAAAGAAATTACAGGATGACATAGCGTGCTGTCTTGCAAATACAGCCACCACAAGTGAACGATACATATAACAGCTCATACTGATATTGACTTCGGCAAAACAGTATTCTGAATGCTCGTTCACGAAACTAGCAAACGCGGCATTTGAACGGTTGCCGAAAGCATGAGAGCTCATTGGGATGGTTGGCGAAGCAAGACGCCGCAGTTCATTTGTTGCAGAAGTCGTTTGACTTGTTGCTGAAAGCCATTTGACTTGTTGCCGAAGGCACGACGAATGTAGTAAAGGGTATTTTATCGTCTCGTATGTATGTATGTATTTACAGCGCGTCTACCATTCAATTTCTTTACTCCCTGCTGGCGCCAAGAGCGTGTTGGCAGGCTAGTTGTGAGGAATGTGCATACGTACGTATGTATGTATGTATGTACATATCAATGCTTCATTTCAAACAAGCAAATGTCGTTGAATTGTTTTTGAAATACAGTATCATGACTTCGGCAATCCATCAAACATGCCTTCAGCAACAAATGAAATGGCTTTCAGCAACAAGTCAAACGACTTCTGCAACAAATGAACTTCGGCGTCTTACCTTCGCCAACCATCCCAATGAGCTCTCATGTTTTCGGCAACCGTCCAAATGAGCTCTCGTGTTTTCGGCAACCGTCCAAATGCAGTATCGTGCTTTCGGCAGTCGCTCAAATACGGCGGTTGCTGGTTTCGTGCACGTTTACTCCGAATACTGTTTTGCCGAAGTCAATATCAGTATGAGCTGTTATAAGTATCGTTCACTTGTGGTGACTGTATTTGCAAGCATCTCAAGCTCTTCGCACTCACGCATTTCGGCTCTTTTTTAATTATTGCGGCAAATACGTCTCGCTTCCTTCTTCAGTTTCCTATAACGGTCCCACATGGCTCGCGTTGCGCCCGATCGTAGCGTGGCACTATAGGCGACGTCTTTTTCTCTGCGGCTTCTTGACATTCCTCATCGTACCAGTTGTCCTTTCGGGCTCGCTAAAATCCAACTACTTCTTCGGCGGCGGTACTTAATGATCGGGAAATGTGGTTCCACTGCTTGGTTATGTCGGATTGTTGAAGAGAGCTCTCAGAGCAGGCATGTGAGTCGAGTGGCGAATAAATTGGCCGTCTGTTGTGATTGCAGCTTTTCGACGTTAAGCTTTCCTTGTATTGTTGGGCGCACATTTTTTGCTGCACAGAGGCGGGTGCGTATCTTGTTTACAAGACAGTGGTCCGAGTCGATGTTTGGCCCTCGGAGTGTACGTACGTCTAAAACGCTGGAAGCGTGCCTTCCGTCTATCACAACATGGTCGATTTAGTTTCTCGTTTTTCGATCTGGAGACAGCCATATAGCTTAGTGGATGTTCTTATGCTGGAACCTAGTACTACATATTACCACGTTTCGGGTCCCGGCGAAGTCGATCAGCCTCAGTCCGTTATCGGACGTTTCGTCGTTGAAGCTGAATTTTCCGACAGTGGCGTCAAAGATTCCTTCCTTGCCCACCTTGGCATTAAAACGCCTCGTCATTCTCTTCCGTCGGGGTATGGGCGCAGATGAGCGAGATGTTGAAGAATCTCGCTTTGATGTGGATTGTGGCTAGACGTTCGTCCACCGGGGTGAACTACTCGGAGACGGAGTCTCTCTCCTACCACGAATCCAACACCGAATTTTCGCTCCTTTACGTGGCAACTGTAGTAGACGTTGCAAGGCTTCACACTTACTTTTCCTTGCCCCGTCCATCGCACTTCTTGGATGGCGGTGGCCCTTGTCTTCCCGAGGACATTAACCATCCTGGCAGATGCACCTTCCCCATTAAGGGTCCGGATATTCCAGGTGCATACCCTCAAATAATAGTCCTTTATACGCTTGCCGTGGTCGTCATCAAAAAAAGGGGGTTCATCCGAGGCTTGTTGAACTTTTTCAATGGGCGGGGTTTTAACGTGGCGGGACCTAATCCCATCGCACGCGAAGTTTTACACCTTCCCACTTTAGCTCGCTCCCAAACGGGTGTTTGGTTGCTATCCAGAGGATACGTGGTCATAAATAACCGGACTTTGTGAGCTGCGATTTGAACCGTACGCACAAGAATCACTTCTGGCCACTCCCAGGTGAATATAAATTAAATAAATTACAATTAAAAAAATAAAATAAAAATAAATAACAAATTAACAAAATGTTTTTTATTGATATTTTATGTCCAAAAGTAGCTAGTTGCAAATTAGTTGACATGTGGTGCAGAGGTATCAGGGTCTGACTTCTTTGCGGCCATCGCCCCAAAAAAGTAGCTTGCCTTTTTCAAACAAAATATAGTTATTAGTTAGCACTAGTGTTCGCATAAACAGACTCAAGTTAGGTATAAGCTGATGTCACTTTCTGGAGGGATGTTTATTTTAAAAACCCTTAAGAAATCCTTGTTAGATCAGATTTCAGCAGTGTCTGTTCAACTCACAAATGGGAAGAGATCATAAAAGCAAAGCAATCTGAATTTGGTTTACTTTTCACGTTTGCCTTAAAAATACTTGGAAGTACGAGTATTATCCATACTTTTTTGCAAGTATGAGTACTGGCATCGATGCTTTTGACTTCAATGGCCTCGCAGCAATAGCTTTGACACCGCATGTCTCTATTTCAAAATATTGACACATAATCTCGTTCATTTTACTGTCGTCGTTGTGTTTAATACGATGAGCATGTAGTGCTCTGCTCTTCGTCGTGGAGCATTCTCCAGTAGGGCCAAAAATTACCCAGCCCAAGCGTGTTTTAACAATCACGGGCCCGTTTATGGCCGAGGAACTTCAATTGGCAATGTTAAAAATGCATGCGTAAGGCTAATTATCATCTTGCGCTGGACGTCGGAATAACTCTCCAAAGGTACGTCGTGAAAACTTGGATTGACTCCCAGTACTTCGTTCTTATTAAAATGACTGCTTTCACAGAATCAAATTTTTGTTGAAATATACTTTAATTATTTTACATGTGACGCGATGCCGATACTTTGCTCAACCACTTCGGTAGGTTCTTTTACGGAATGAGCTCAGATAACTCCAGGTGCTCTTTCGTTCCACTTAGGCCAAGGTCTTTTGCAATACTCCAATCTAGCATGGTGACGTCAGCGCCATCATCTATGAATCATTACACAACAATCTCTTTTTCGCGATTCATTAACTTAGCGGGCATGATTTGAAATAAAAGCTCATTTCCATTTCTACCAAAGTGGCAACTAACCTTTTCATGGGGCAGCTCCCCTCTTACTCAATCACTGGTCGATGACTCACTAGAATCAGTATGAATCGAGTGTAATAAACGATTGTGGTATTTTTTACAATTACTGATGCCACAGCACTTCTTAGAAAAACATTTATTTACGGTATGATTGGATTTAAAGCACGCAGAACACACTTTCATTTCTTTTTGATGCTCCCATATGCTCTCAACTGGTAGCTTAGTGAACTTTTCACACGAAGCAAGCGATTGACAATCGTCTTCGCAAATAACACATTTACGGCGCGCAAGACTAAACATTGAGTATTTGCCCTTGTTCACCATGTTTTCAAGACTACGCAAACATGTCAACCACTGCGCAAAACCCACTATGTTAGGTGCACGACCCAATTCCATACATTTTTCAGCCCACTGCATACGACTTGTCATCGGCAACTTCTATACAATCTCACTAACCAAAGTCGGGTTTACCAGATGATGTTGTGCGCCCACTGATTGCAAGAATAATGCCATATTATTTACCTTGTTAGCAAACGCCATTAACCTATCCTCTCTCTTTATTAGCTATTCTGGACGACCATGTTTCCGGTACCGTCCTTAATATAGCATTGATATTTTTCGTACTGGATAAAAGTGCTTCTACCATTTCCCTGGCAGGTCCATACAGTGCTTCACGTATTCTCATAATGCTATGTAATTCATTGTACTGAAATTCTATGGAAATCTTCTATGGAAGCTTGCCATTCTTCAGGCTGTCCACCAAACTTTGGCAATGGGTAGATTTTATGAGCTCTGGCCGGTGCGTAACCTAAAAAATTGAAATTAGCAAAAGACCCCCCCGAAGAAATGCCCGCTGGTGAGTGCGGCGCTGAAGCATTTGTTATTTGAGTGACAGCAGCCGGAAACGATGGAAAGGCGTTGAGTTTGTCGATCTAGCGGTGGACATACCATTTGTAGGCGCCCCAGCTGCTGGAGTAGTTCGTGCAATTGTAGCCGGATGAAAACGAGTAGTGTTGGTCGTTGTTGTCATACTTGCTGCGCAAGATGTTGATAAAACACGTCCACAAGACACGGGTCGGCGGTTTCACGTTAAATTGGATCACCTATCCCACCAGTACCGTTATTTACCCCAATAGCGTACGCAATAGAAGCTTGTGCGTTTGAGACGACAGCGCTGTTAGGTGTTGTAACGGCAACTCTTAAATTCGTGGCGTAGTCTGAGGTAACGGTACCTTCAGCTGCAACTGTGCATATAAATCCTGTTAGAGTCGAACTGTACTCGGTCAAATAATAAAACTGTTACGGCTGTAAATGGAACGCCAATATTTCCGGG